AACGAGGATGCAACGGAAACAAATGAAACTTCAACAGATTGAAAATAACGCTAATGACTGGAACTTTGACTTTCCAAGGATGATGATCGAAAAAAATTTCAACTTCACGGAAACACCAGGTACAAAACCTTCATTTCTGGAGGAATTAGGAGTTAATCCCACTGTGATAGATTCACTCGATCTAATATTTTATTTTAGACGGATGATTATTGGGACGCGATAGCTGTCGAAACAAATAGATATACAGAGCACAGGTGCTAAATAGTGAAAATTACAAAAAATAGGAATGAAACTACTTTGGTAGCTTTACATATTCCAGAATGTTTTAAAAAGTATCATACCGAAATAAACCATTAATTAATACATATATATATAATCTTTTGTTTGTTCACTAAAGAATTTTTTTTTGAAAAATTTATCATCAATAAATAGTAATACGTTGTATTTTTCATTTTTCTCTTTATCATCTAGTCATCTAGTCAGCTTTTTTTCAGTGTTTTTCGAATTCTACGCCGCATTGCCTAAATGCATCTTGTCCACAAAATATACACAATGACTGCCGCGCGAATGGGTTAAGTGAGGAGTATAATTGTGTCGATTCTCTGATCTGCTTTTCGCGAGCACGGCAGAACAGAAAAGATACTTTGAAGATACTTTCAATCTGTAACTGAGACAGAGTTGGAGTTGAAATTTCACTGCTCGTGATGTCGGAACGTCGTTGGCCCGAGCGAATTATGCTAACTGTTTGCTGAAAATTTCTATCAATTTGTAAATTCTGGACGATGTTGGGAACGCTTTTCGCGTTTTGCAATTTATGATTTGTCGCTGAAACCCGAGGAGAATTTAAACTCTGCGCATTGCTCTCGTCGTTGTAGCTTGTACAGTCGAATTCGACTTTGCTGAGAATAGGTCTTATGCAAGAAGATTTATGCAAAATTACCGACGAATTAAACTCGGACACTCTATTTTTAGAATCTCGATTATTGAACTTCGTCGTTCGAAGATTCGAAACGATTCCTCGAGTCTGTGGAAAATTTATCTATAATTCAATTAAGCAATCGGATCTGGTTACCTCGAAATGATCAATTCCATTATTTACAAAATTATATATATATATATATATATATACATATATAGGGATTTAAAAATCAGAATGTTGAACAAACGAAGTAAAGAAATTTTCGATGACTCCGATTTATCCATAATTTGTGTTTGAATATATAGTTTTCATAAACAGATATTCAAGAAAATGTACGTATTGACATTTACTTGGAAAAATCGTCGAAAAATGTTAAAGAACACGTATATCGTTTAAACAATTTTTTCGCAAAATGGTACCACTAATTTCATCAATTTACACAAAATACTGTATCTTCAGTAATCTGCGCGATGTTTGACAAAAAATATGTTTCGCATGCCGAAGTTCGAGGGCAGCTTTCACCCCCTTCGACATCGAAGAAATGACGCCGATGAAAAAAAAAGAAAAAAATACTTATCAAATATTTCTTCGAGAACTACAATTATGCCAAATTTAAGTTTACCTTATCTACAGATCGGACACGTCGCCTCGGCGATCGAACGAAAAAGAAAGCGAATCGGTAAGCCGACGAACCCGTGGCCCGATTTTTCCCCGATTTAAATCCCTTATCGAGTGGAGAAAAAAACGCTGACAATGCGTGTCGCGCGAAAGTGAAAGCCCTCGTTTCGAAATCGTTTTTTCGTGTAACGACCCGAGCCAAGTGAATTCGTGCTACCTGCTGCGGGGCCCGATCGAGGCGAACGTTCGACGAATAAGAGCGTATATATGTGTGTGTATATATATATATATATATGTATATATGTATATATATCGCGATCGTGCAAACTGTACGAATCTCGACCGAGGCACGACGACTTCCTCCTTTCCAGGTAGACGTGTCGCTTGGAAATGGCTCCACCTTTCCGAACGTACGTCCTTGAGCAAACCGGTGCACCGGGAAAGGTGATGAAAACCGGCCAGTCACGTGTACCATGCCGGCGCGAGCGGTTGTTTGCCCTCTTCTGGTCGCACGTTCCGCCGATTTTCTCATCGATAATATTCGCTGTATCGGTATCAGGGACGACGCGTCAAAGTGTCCGATCCACGATTTTCCCTCGAAAAAAACTTCATCGGCGCGTTAGAAGGCAGTACAAAGTCTGACGAAAGTGTGTTGGAAAGTGTCTTCAGTCAAGAAAGAGTCAGAATCGATCGTGAAGCGGCGGAAGCAGGAAACGACGAAGGAACAGCTGACGCCAAAGACAGAACACGGCCAACTAATGCGTTTTAAATCGGTGGAATCGCGCGCGTTCCACGACAGAGACGAATGCCGATCGTTCTCAAAGTCATCGCTTCGGAGAGAAAGCAAAATACATACGGCGATGATTGGCGCTCGATCGCGACGTGTTACGCGCGCAACCGCCGCCATGCAGATTAGATTAATCGTTATCGGCTCGAGCGTGAAATAGTTTCGCGAAGCGGACGATTCTCAGAGAGCGGAACTCGATCGCCGATGCCCCATCACGCATCTTCCTTGGACTCTTTTTTTCTTTTTTTTCTTTTTTTTTTTTTATTATTAAAAAGATCGTTGATGGGGAGAGATCGTGGTAAAACGTCGCGTGTGTGCTCGCGCTCCGTTTGAAAAACCTCGGCGCGGTTCCCCTCGGAAGAGGCGCATTATCACGTGTGGCAACTCGATTAAAGGCCGCTCTCGGCGACGTCCTGCTGAACGATTATCGTTTATTCGCGACCACGCCGGAAACTCGGCGAACCCGGGAGAAAGGTACTCTTTCACAGTGCACGCAACACAGTGCTATCCGTGTGTAGTTTGATAGTTTAAAAAGACGCTTCCGATAGAGAGAAGGTGGAACAGCGAATCGGCAGTGACAGTATGCTCTCGATACTTTCTAACGGGCAACTATGTTTTTCAACGAGTTTCGCTGTTTTTTCAAATAGCCTGACTTTGACTCTTCCTCTGGTGGCGAGTGTTCTACCCTTCGTCGACTCCGGTTTCGACAAATTGTCACCTTCTTATCTCGAGTAACTCTCTCCAGTGACAAATTAGGTACGTGGCATTATTTACACAACTAAATTTCTCCAACTGTCTCGATTCTCAGTTACTGGCTCTGAGTAACGAGCTTATCACGTACAATGTCGTCGCCGCTTTCGTCTACAAACGGCCATAAACAGCCAATTGCCGCCATTACGTATATACGTCGATCCGCAAAAAAAAAAAAAAAAAAAAAAAAAAGAAACGCCAACCTTATTATTTTTCTTGCCGACGGTGATAAATCACAAAGCTCAATTAACTCTTAACTGACTTGAAAACATCCTTCGACTTGCCTGCCGGCGAACCAGCTGGCGAAGGTTTAGGTTCCCGCGGGGGAACAACCAACACAGGTAGATAAAAGATAGTAAATTCAGTTTCTTCTGTCGGAAACGAGAACTGCGCGGCGGAGTTACTTCCGCGAGATCGACGACTCCGACTGTGGCTGGCTGGCTGGCTAATGCATCTGTGAGCAATACAGAGAAACGCGAGCGAGCGAGCGAGCGAGC